CTGCGCAGAGCACAGGGGGGAAATGGGCGGGCCATGCTACCGACCGGGCGCAGGCGCGGGCACAGAACAGATGGAAAGACGCCGGTGAATATGGCAGCGGCTCTCGTAGAGAGAATGGCCTCTAAGGAAAGACCGCGCTGCGCAGCGCATCATCATGGCGGTCTTTGCTCGGCAGCCAACGTCTCCAGACGACGAGCTACCGGGGCAACGTAATCCCTGCAATCAGGAGAAGGCCAAGAAGCAGGGGCACAGGTGGACCCTGTTCCAGAGCGCGCATCTCAAGACGCCTGCTACTGGCAAGGACGCTGTTGTTCCTCCATGGGCGCGGTGGCCGTGCATCAGCAGGGGGGTGCTGGGTGGGGGCGGCTATTCCATCCCAGAGCCACTTGACTGGGACTGTGCTCGCCCAGAGGGCCGCCATTGCGAAGAGCCCAGCATGGGGTGGCCCGCGCGGCGTAGAGCGCCCCCGCAGAGCCGTGAAGTCCAACCGCTCAGTCATTCGAGAATTGCCATGGGGCGGGAAATTAAGGCGCGCTTGCCGCCGGTGGAATTTCTGGAAGTTCCGCGGCCGAGCAGGAGGTGAAGGAGGAGGGGGGGTCGCTGACCTTTCTTCCAGGTCTGCGAGCGGGCCGCCATTGGCAGTTATTCGGTGGAACAGTAAACGCCGAGAGACCGAGGAATTGCTTATGGGGGGCACCCTTTGCTTGGGGGGGCCCCAACTCGCGGCCTGTTGCGGGGGTTGCCTGATGGGCCAGCCCGGGCTAGCAACCCTCGGCGACTGAACGAACCCGCCTTCCAGCGGTCGCAGCAACGGCTGAACAAACCTGCCCTGCCCCGAGATTGGCGGGGGAGGTGCCGGCGAGCAGCGGCGAACGCGTTGCGAACGGGGGCGGGCGGGGCAAAACGTCGGCGCGGGCGATTCGGGCTGGAGGGCGCAGGAGACGGATGGAGAGGAAGGAGGGGGGCAGAGGGGAGAGGCATGCAGTTGAGTAATTCGGAAACCAATTGTTGCAAGCCGATTGCCGCTGTCTCGAGGCGGGGCAGAATCGGACGGACGGGCCTCCTGCGGGCTCCGCCTGGGCCCGAAGCCGAGGCCGCGCCTAGGCCCCAATCCCAGTCTCAGTGCTACCTGGGGCTCGGGGCCCATCCGGGCCTCGGGGCCAGCCCTTCCGCCAGGATCCGCCCTTGCAGCGGGGCCCGCCCTGCCGCGCGCGGCCCCGCGAGCAGGCGGCCGACCTTCTTCTGCGGAGGGCGCCTCGCTCCGGTCGTCGTCGTCTTCGCCCGCGTCCACTTCGGCGGGCGCGTGAGCGACGTTGCTGGGGACCTCTGGCTTTTCTTCCTATTGTCCGTCTGGCTCTTCTCCGGGATTGGTTTAAGCGTTCGCACTCGTTTGCGCCGTTGCCGGCTGCGGGCCAGGTGGCCAAGCCACCGGGCTCATTGATAAAACAATTCCCAGGGCACATCAAGATCATGCATCAGCAAGCCCGAAGGCGAGGCCGACTGGTCCAAAGACGGGCGCGGCGCAAACGAGCGCAAATGCTGAAGTGTATACGAAGTTCCCTCGTCCTCTGCGTCGCCGGCTGCGCCTTCGACCCCCGACTTGGCGTGCCGCCCGTGTGTGCTGATCCCGCGTGTGGCTGCGCCGCCAGCGCGATTTCCCTTGCCCCGGCTTGCAGCCCTGCAGTCGTAGGGCTTGCCCACCTCGCAGCAGTAGTGCTCCATGGCCACATCGGCCTTCAGGGCCGCGCGTCTGGCCGCTACCCCGGCCACCGCCCGCAGACAGTCCAGCAGTTGCTGGAAGCGCGCCTCGCGCAGCAGCTGGCGGAACTGGTTCGCCCGGGGCCTGCCCTGGGCCCACGGGTTTTCCAGCCCCCCCATCCTGGGCGCATCTCTCTGGCAGGTGCTGCTTCTGAGAGTGGATCTGTTGATCCCCCTCCTGGCCCCAGGGCCGAGGCGCGCGCCGCTGGAGTGGCTGCCTGGCCGGCTGCAGCCAGCTCGCCAGCAGAGGCGGGCGTTATTACTGGTGAGCACGCCGTGCCTGCGGGCTACGAAGAGCCACGTCCGACGCGCCGCCTAACAGAGGCACATTTTCCCAGCGTTACTTTAAACGAGTTGTGGGTGGAAGAAAAACGCCCGACGTCCACCTGGGCCCCCGTCGGACGACCAGAAAGGCGAGCGCAGCGGCGTGCTCGGTCGCAATGTGGATGCGCGGGCGTCGCGGCGACGGCGACGACGACGGCGGCGCCTGCGCCGACCGCGACGTCGACGGCGGCAGCGGCGACGGCGGCGACGACGAACGCCGCGGCGACGGCGGCAACGGGGCCCGGGCCCACGGGCGAATTTGCGCCCGCCCTCGCTTCTGGAGTCCCGGGCTAAGTTTATGGGGGCGGCGCAATTTCTGCGCGCAGTTTTACCCCAGCCGTCCTTGCGCTTTACTAAAGCTCTCCTTTCGCTTTAGTAAAACGTACGTTTTTTGTACCTCGCGCCTTTGCTAAAACTGTTTCTTCGCTTAAGTAGAGCCGCTTCTTCGCTTTCGTAAAGCAGGTTGTTCGCTTCAGTGAAGCAGTGACTTCGGTTTAGTAAAGTCCGCGATCTGTTTCAGCACAGCCCCGGGGGTGCAGTGGTGTTACGGGCCAGGGCCCGGCCGGGGGGCGGGGGGCCCCTGCCGGGTTACCCCGCGATGAATTTTGTCGAGTAGCCAGGGTCGCGTTGCATCCGGTCGCGGCGATCCTTGGGCACGCGTTCAGCGAGTTGCACATGCTCTGTGACAGGAGATTCAGGGCGCAAGCGCAGGACGAGGCTCGGCACTTCGGACGCGCCACCGCTGTTGTCGCGCAACAGAATAACAGCACGTTACCAAAAGGGTTGTTTCTTTTCGCTCTTGCTTCTTAAAAGTAATAGTGAGGACTTTCCGCTTCCAAATCCGGCCCTCGCCAACCAGGCTGGCCGTTTCTATTGATTGGCGCAACTTACCCCGTGCGTCGTCGGATGTGCCAGCCATGCGCAAACGTTCAGTAACCGACGATGAGGATAGGCCGTCCCGCGAGGTGTCCGCAACCGCGGCCAAGAGGAGGCCGAGCAGGCCACTGGGCTTGAGGCTGTTGCCTGGCGGTTTGGCTGCGAAGCGGCGCTCGATTGCTGCGAAGTGCCCTTTGACGCTCAAAGCGGCACGGCCCAGGCGCCAGGCGAAGCGCAAACGCCTTCCATTTGACAAGAAGGCGCGAAGTCGTACAACACGGTCCGTCTGCGAATCGTTGTCGCCCATGTTGATACGACGGTGGCGCCACAACTCGCACGGGTGATGATATCTTTCCTCAGTTCACCAAGCGAAGTCAGCGCCTAGCCTCTCAATGTTCATTCCCGTGGAAGGGAGAAACTTTATGTTTTTGCGCATGTCCGCGAAGGTCCCCCGTGGAACGCTCCATCCAGACAACAACACAAGGTGCAGCAGGGTGATTTCCGGCACTTTCATGGAACACTGTGCGGTCTGGCCCCTTACGGACAGTTGGCAGTCGATCGTTCATGAGTCATGGTCGAGGCGTTGGGCGAAAGGCGAGAACATGATGAACAAGAAACGGGGGAGGGCCAGCCACTGGCCCGGGGGGCGAAGAACGGTACAAACAGACAAACACCTGGGAGGCCCGCGCGGATTTCGCGGTTCCGCGCTGGGACCTCCTGGCGGCGACAATGGCGCCACTTTTGGCGGACAGGGATCCAGCGCCGATCCGAGAGGATCTCGAACATGTTATGTTTATGCCACACTTCGTCCTCTTAATCCCCCACCTGCGGGGGTGGGCGTGTCCTCGGGGCTTGAGCCGGGGCAACCACGGTGAGCGACGACGACAATTGTCCAACCAACATTCTGGGCGACAGGTGGTCTATCGAGGTTCCTCTGTCCTCTTCCACAGCACCTTCTTCTCCCTAAGGGAACCCCATCCACACTTACTCAATATGATTACTGTTCTCCCTCCACGCCCGAAACTTTCCAAACGAGGGAGGGCTAGGATGTCAGATGTGGCGCGAACGCACCTTGCTTGTCCCTCGCCCCACGCCCGCCCTTGGCCAGGCGGGTGGCCCCGGACAATTTGCGAACATTTGTTCCCCGGAGGGCGTTCTGTTCACAAATTGTGTGGGGCGTCCCGTCTGGCGAAAGGGCGGCTCTAGCCGACGCCGTAGGAGGCCCATTAGCCCCGCGAGGTTGATCTCGCCTGTGAAGGCGGGAGAAGGAGGAAGGAGAGGGAAGGGGGGGCATGAATCAGGGCAGAGAGCAGCGGGCTGGAAAGAGGCGCGGAGCGGGAAGGTGACACCGACCCTCCCGATGGTCTGCTCCTAGTCGCCAGTCCGATAACCGAAATCACGCTGGCTAGCCTTAGCCCCTGCTCCTATTTCAGCCTTCGGCTGGGGATTTTCCTGACGGCGCCTGGCGGGCCCAAGGTAGTGTTGCCCCGTTTACTCAGAAAGGCCGCAGATATAATGTTACCCTTTTTCTCATGCAATGCGAGGCTCGCCGAAAGGCAGAGGATTTGCGGGAAACGTGGCAGGAGTGGCTGCCGTTAAGGCTAAACTTCTCCTGCCTCACAAGTGGGAGGCCGCGCTGCCCCTCAAACGGAGGCTGTACAGGGCATCATCCCCAAGGGTGCCCGCAGAATCGCGGCGGAGGACGGCCCTCTTGGGAGGGAAATGGTCGGACTGGCTGCGAAATTGACGAGAGGGGGGGGAGAGAGTTGCGTTGACCGTATCCCCCTACAGAAGGTCGGAGAAAGTGTCGCACAGCGAACAAAGCCGACCCTATCCAACTCCGTCGGGGAGCGGGGCCGCGAGCGGAGGCTGTGCAGAGGAGGAGGACGAGGAGGAGGAGGAGGAGGAGGAGGAGGAGGAGACGGAGGAGACGGAGGAGACGGAGGAGACGGAGGAGACGGAGGAGGATGGGGAAAAATAATCTGCGGCTTTGCCTCGCTGTCTGTTTGGCCGTTTTGTCATTTGTCTTTTTGTTTGCCCAGGAGTTGTTGCGGCTGGGCCTGTTCGAGACGGACTACCGCTTTTACGCCAAGCACGCGGCTTGGCTGGTGCGCAGCGGGATTCCACGGGTTTGCTCCCCAGACCCCTTGCCTCACGAATCGTGTTGTGTTGGGCCCTGGGAGACCTGGTTTGGACCCTGGGAGAGTCAAGCGGCCCAGGATGAAGAATTAGTGCCTTGTGAGTTGTCGATAACGCTGCGGGGGCCCATGGATCGGACACATCACGGCGTCCAAGTTCTGGGAACACGGTATACAGCATAGTCAAGACTTCCAGCCAGCGCCAGGGATAGAGCCAACCTGTTGCTAGGATGGCAGATGGTGCAGTCAGGATAGGGCCGGGTTTTGCGTGGAATTGTCTAAAGGCGTCTGGCGTATCCCGCCACTTTTTTGGGGGGTGGCTTCAGGGCGTCTTCGGGGGGCCCGTGCGGATCTCTGGGGGGCGTCCGAAGGGCCCCTGGAGGCTCCTGGAGTCGTCTTGGGCGGGACGTACCCTGGGCATCTGGCCCGAAACACCCTCTGAGGCTGAGATTGCTGACGCACCCACGGCCTTGTCAACAGTTCGAAACACTTCGCGTATCACCACCAGTCCATCCCGCGGCCGGTGGCTCGTTCGCTTTCTTGCAGGGCTTCGCGCTCTATCACCTCGGCCGGTGTGATGGCTGTTCTGCGGGCGCGTATAGTCGGATCCGATATGGATGTGCGTTGTGTCGTTTGTGCCGATCTGATTTAGCGGATAGTTTTATGATGTGTAATTTGGTCCAGTTTGGTTGCCAGCACATGGGTAGGTATTTCTCCCCTGTTATGCGATCCTCTGACCTTTTCCCTGTTTTTGATTGGGCTCTTCGTGAGTGCTCTTGTCTGGTCTGGCTGATCATTGATCCAGCCTACTAATTATGGTGCGATGCAGTTCGCATGGTTCGGTGTTGCGCGATGCCCCCCTCTACGTGGGCGTTTCAGTGCCCGTTGAGAAACACGGCTCTCTTGCTTCTTCTTTCTCCTCTCTTTTCTCTTCCTCTTCTTCCTCCTGCTGTTCCTCTTTCTCCTCCTGCTGCTGCTGCTCCTTCTCATCCGCTCCTGCCTTCCCTCGCTCGCGCCCTTCTCCCCTGTCCCTTCCTCCTCCTCCTCCTCCTCCTCCTCCTCTTCCCTTCCTTCCCTCTCGTCCGTGCCTCCTCCTGCTTCTCCCCCTCCTCCTCCCTCCTCCTTCCTCCTCCTCCTCCTCCTCATATTCCTAAGCCGCCACCACGGCTGAAGGTCGAGGGACACGCGGCCCTCCCACCCTGTTCCATCGCCCGCCAGGGGAGCAGCGCGCGATGCCCACGCGCCCGCGGGGCCCAAGAGGCCCATGATGGAGGCTTTCCTCTTGCTCGCGGCCGTCGGCTTCTCGCCGCGGGCGGCCGCCTACATGTCGACTGTCGCTTGCCGCGCCCCTGAACGCACTCAGGAGCGAGAGCCTCAACCTGCTCTGCACACCAGGCTCTACGTGTACTACCCTCTCTACCTGACGGGCAGCACCCGCGCGCAGGAGATCACCTGCGAGCACTACATGGGCGTGATCCTCTTCCCTGGGACGAGCCGCCGCCCGACACTGGACGGCCGCCACAGCCTCTTTCAGCACGACTGCCAGTGGGAGCTCTCCTTCGGCTGGACCAGCAAGAGTTGCGGGGGGAGCATATTCCTACATCAACGGTTTCCGCAGGCACACCTACGTCGGATCTACCCTCCGCCCGCGGCGCTCTCGGGCCGCTGCGGCGCGACAGTGCCGCTCCTCGGATGTGCTCCTCATGGTTCGGCACCTTTCCGTGCCATCCGAGTCCTGCTCCAGCCGCAACTCATACCGCCAGGTGACCCAAGCTATGATCTCGTGGGCACGCACCACGCTGGAGTCTGTGGGCAGTCGACGCACGCCTTTCAGCGGGGCGGACCTCAGCTCGGCGACTCCGTGGACGAGACGTTTCTCGGCTCCCCGTCCCTGCTCGAGCCCGACTTGTGGAGCGAGGCCGACAGCGCCGTGGGCCCCTTCCTGGAGCTGGCGGGCCTTTCTGGACGTCTTTGGCAACGGTTCCTCTCGAACCACGACACCTTCTTTGTCAGCGGGGACACCTTCATCGGGGCGCACGGACGGTCACGCAGGATCGACTTCCTCCACGCCCCGTGCAAGTGCAAGGCCCCCAGGGGAGCGGGACGCCGCCTCAACGTATTGTACGATCGAGACCGCTGTTCTGTCTACGCGGGCGACATCTTCGAGGCCCACGCGCAGCACACCTGGGACTACGACACGATCATGCTTCGTCTGGAGGGCGCCCTGAAGTCGCGCGACCTGCAGCAGGCGGTCACGTTTTTTCCCCAGATGGCGCGACAGCGCGCCCAGCAGCTCAGGGACCTCGCGGCCTCGGAATGGATCAGCATCGTGACCCCGCCCACGGCTACTTCGATCGTCGCAGCTCGGGAAGCGGGCAAGATGTACGCAGAGGCGGCGCAGGTCCCCGAGGCGAAGCCCCAACTCACCACATTTGTACATCGCTCACGCCGAGTTCAAGTACCCGTCGGCCTCCGTGGAGCAGGAGGCCCCGCAGGGGCACGTGCTCCCGCGTACCTTCTACCAGCAGTTCGTTTGCATGGGGACGGGCTCGGAGCTCTGCTCCACCTCAGGCTGCGCACGCGCCACAACGACCGGTACACCAGGATGCAGTTCGCTAGCGCGGACCAGATCACACTGAAGAGCGTCAACCCAGACGGCCCTCGGGAGACATGCCTCGACGTTCTGGGCGGCCGCCAGAAGATGGGGACGGCCCCTATGGGCCACCTGGAATCGATGGCCCAGAAACTGCTAGACAAGAGCCGCCAGATCCACTACGGCCAGAAGGGCTGACATGGGTGGCGGATCCTACGGAAAGAGATGGGCGACCAGCACACTACGTGACGACGTGAGTCCCTCCAGCAGCTTCGCTGTAGCACCAGGCCCCTCTAGTCGCTCTCGCCGCCCCTGGTCTCTAGGGCGCGCCGTCGGCTCTTTTTTTCGGCCTGTTTTTTTTTTTTTGTTTCCTTCTCGGGGCCTCTGGGTGTCCAGGGAGCCTGCTCGGTGCTCTCCGCGCCGTCGAGTTCGGCCCCCAGGGGCCGCAGGAGTATCACCCCCCGCCCGCGGGCGCCTTCCTGTTTCCTGTCCTGCTCGGCTCTGATCAAAGGTGATCACAGCTGCACGGCGCGCACACACGCCTGACCTCGTTCGGTCCGAGGAGATCGCACGACTGCTCAGAGGTGTCCCCGAGCGATCTCTTGTTTCGTGAGCTCGAGGGGTGAGTGTCTTCAGATTCACAGCGCAATGCCGAGTCCATCCATCCATCCATCCTCCTATTCCTGGAAGCAAGGGCGCGCTCCTTTCTGAACGAGCCCGAGTCTCAAAACAATTATTCCCACTGCCCCTCCGGCCTCGCGTCGGGGTGGCCCTTTGCCCGAGTGGCTTCTGGTGGGCGGCGTTCGGGTGGCGGGGAAGTGGGGGCGAATCGCCTGGGGGCGGGCATTACACGTGTCCGCCGACGAGCTTCGCAGAAGACCTTTGGATACATGGATCCATGTACCGCTCTTCCCCTGGGCCTATCGTCGCCTCCGTTTCGGGCGGCGCGGGGGGGTAGGCGCCCAAGCGCGAGTTGCACATTCGGCGGCGGGCCGCGCAGGAGGAGGAGGAGGAGGAGGAGGAGGAAGAGGAGGAAGAGGAGGAGGAGGAGGAGTTGGAGGAGAAGGAGGAGGAGGACGAGGAGGCGGAGAGGAGGAGGAGGAGGAGGAGTTGTAGGAAGGAGGAGGAGGAGGAGGAGGAGGAGGAGGAGGAGGAGGAGGAGGAGGAGGAGGAGGAGGAGGAGGAGGAGGAGGAGGAGGAGGGAGGAGGAGGAGGAGGAGGAGGAGGAGGAGGAGGAGGAGGAAGGAGGAGGGGAGGAGGAGGAGGAGGAGGAGGAGAGGCATGAGGCGGAGGAGGAGGCGGAGCAGATGGAGGAGGAGGCGGAGGAGGAGGAAAAGGCGGAGGTGGAGGGGGAGGCGGAGAACGAGGAGGAGGCCGAGGCCAACCCTTGCCCAGGGTCGCTCCTTGCGTGCCGCCGGCGCGCAGCACCGCGGTGGGAGCCGACGGCGCACGGGTACTGCAGACTCGCCGCTGCTCTCTCCTGGGGCCCGCGGCGGGGCCCGCAGGGGGGGCTCTGGCGACGGGCCCCAGAAGGACAACGCGCTCGACGTCGACCCTTCCTTCCCGTCCTGCTGCTGCTGCTGTTGCTGCTGCTGCTGCTGCTCCCGCGTCTGGCCCCTTCCTCCCCATCCCTCCTCTCACACCGAGGCTGCAAGTGGCACGTCCGACCTTTTTCCTCCCGCTCTTCGCCGCCTCGCTCGCGCCCGTGTGGGGGGCCTTCTCGCTTAGCCCTTCGTGCCCTATCCTCGCCTATTCGCCTTTTCACTTCGCTCCTCGCCTCGTCGTCCCTCCTCTCCTCACTCCCCGCCCCGACCGTGACGGGGGGTCGGCCAGGCTGCGCTGTTCGTGTCCTCGCTAGCCCTGTCCCTGGGACTCGTGGGCGGTGGAGGCGCCCCTGCAATCCCCGCTCCTGGGGCGGCAGGGCGGACGAGCGTGTCCGGTGATGACGGTGGTGGTGGTGGTGGTGATGGCGATGGCGATGAGGATGAGGATGTGGACGAATGTAGCGATGGCGATGACGACGGCCATGATGATGCAATGCCAAGCAGTGCCATGCAATGCCAAGCAGTGCCATGCAATGCCAAGCAACGCCAGCAACGCCAAGCAGTGTAAATCAATGCAAAGCAGAGCCACACAGCGCCGATCAATTCCAAGCAATACAACTCAATACGCAGGAATGCAACGTACTGCGACGCACGCAATGCAATGCAAAGCAATGCAGAGCAATGCAGTGCATAGCACTGCAAAGCAGCTTCAAGTAATGCAATGCAACGCAGTGCAACGCTTTCCTTACTTACTTGCGCACTGGCGAAGCTTTCCCCCAAGGCGACGCGTGGAAATGCAGCATGGTAACACATTATCCGGACGAGCGATCCGACAATTTGCAGTTATGAGGGCCTCGTTGTGGCCATCGCTTTCGGTTGAGCTCCCCCAGGGGCCACGAAGCGTGCGAGTGGCGTGCCACGAAACGTGTAAGGACTGTGCCGAAATGGCTGGGGAACCGCATGCGAACTGTGTGTGCCACAGAGGCACTCGGTGGGCCCCCCCTATGGGGCCACGAAACGTGTGAGGGGTGTGCCGACACGGGCGTGACGCCCACAGAAGAACTGCGCCACGGAGGCATTCTGTGGAGCCCTCTATGGGGCCACGAAGTGACTGTGTGAGGACGGTGCCGTGACGAGAGTGACGCCCGCATGCGAACTGCACTACGGAAGCTTTAGGAAGAGCTCGTTCTAAGGCCACGACACGTGTGTGTGCGTGTGTGCCGAAAACAGCACAACGCCCACATGCGAAATGCGCCACAGAGGTACTCTGTGGAGCCCCCTATGGGGCCACGAAACGTGTGAGGGGCGTTCGAAACTTGGAGTGACGCCCACATGCGAATTGCGCCACGGAGGCCTTAGCCCCCAATGGGGCCACGAAACGTGTGAGGAGGGAGGGGGCAGCTGGAGGAGGAGGAAGGACGCGGAGCGCTGTCTCTTCAAACGAGGACCCAACACCACAGGGTGGTTTGGAATTGCACCCTTCGCGGCATGAGATCTCAAGCAGTCTTCTAGAGTACTAAAGGGGGCACAACATACAGAGCGTACAACAGAGAGTTCCGAGTAGCATAGACATGTATTCTGAAGAGTCTATGCAGAGAGGCCATGTGGGATACCATCTCTAAGAGAGGCCGTAAGGGATATCACAGGGGTGGCTGTGACGGAGAACAGAAGGGAAACCACCACGGAAGCCATACAGGAAACCATACAGCGACCACAGGGGAGACCAGGCGGGATCCAATTTGGAAGACCATACGGGAGACCACACGAGAGACCGTACTGGGGACCAGGCGGGACACCATACAGGAGACCATGCGGGAGACCTCGGGTCACGGGCCACCGATTTTTGATCCGGAAGTGCGCACGCGTGCTTTGAAACGGGGAAGGTGTTTAGGGACATCTATATGAACCTTGCAGGCAAGATTCTTATCAAGGGAAAGTGACCAGAGCCCCGTTCAGGCCAGCATAGGACAAGTGTATGTATAGTGTATACCTATCCGACAGCGCTTCGGGTGATACGGTGGTTGGGGGGGGATGGGGCAATTGATGGCAACTACATTGGCTGTGATGGTGACGACGCTGGTGATGACGAGTTGGCGACGACGCACGACGCCAATGCTGGTGACAATGCGTGATGTCGGTACACGGTGGCGATGCTAGTGACACTGTATGTTGTAGTGGCGATGCCTGGCGGCGAAACTGGCACGATGAGCGGGGCATCGCATACGGGTAGCGGGCAACAGTAGCAGTGCAACAAGCAACTTGAGCTGGCAGAGCCTCGCCAGCGGCACGACAACCGCGATGGCGCACTCACATTTGTGCTTGCGTCACCATCTCAGTCGCAGGGAAACAAATTCCACCTCTATTGCTGGAGGTGGCACTTATTTGTCCGCGACCCCTGTGGCACGCCAGATGGTTCAAGGCATCCTTGCACATCGGCGAGCGACCCTTGTGGCGCAGTCTCACGATCAATTGGTTTCACCACCCATCTCATGCTACCAATGGGTCCCCTCATCGATGTCACCAGCTATCTCACTAGCGTTCTCACTCTCCGTCTACCTATCGATCTCACTATCGATCTCCTTCAATTCACCAGTGTCACGATCTATTGATCTCACAATTGACCTCACCATCGATCTTTCTACCAATCTAACTAGTTTTCTGTGTACAGATATCATCATGTATCTCGCTATCGGTATAACTTCCGATCTCACTATCGATGTCGCCCAATCGACCTCATAATCGATCTCACTATCGATCTCATTATCGACCTCCACGGGATACCATCGGGACATCCTTGGGCCACCGCGGGCCAACCCGGGGGAGGAGAGACATTGAGCCTGGTTTCGCCCTGGCCAGGGCGGGATCATGCCAGCAGAGGGAGCAGCGATCCTCGTGAAATCGCACTGTTTGCGAAGTAATGGGGCGCCAACCCCTGTGATGTCACTTGGATGTTTGGGATTTCTGCTATGAGCATCGTAGAAACCTTGTGATGGCATTCGGATGTTTGGTAGTTTGGGGGGTTCTGGATTTCAGAGCTCTGGAGGGCTGCAACGTGGATCTTCTATGTGGAATATATAAGCAAAAACTCCCAAACATCCAAATTAAATCACCCGGTTCCTGGGGTTCTCATACTAGGCATCCCCAACATCCAAGTTCAATTCACAGGATTTGGCGCCCCTTTACTTCGCAAGCCATGTAATTTCACAGGGATCGTTGCTCCCTCGAGTCTCTCGCTCTCTCTCTCTCTCTCTCTCTCTTTCTCTCCTTTGTCTCTTTGCAGACTCTTTGCCTCCCAGGGATGGCGAGGTCCCGTGTGGGTCTGCGTGGGATCCTACAGCGCGGGGCGACAGTTTCACACTTCGCAGCCCCGATGAGGGATGGCGAGGTCTTTTTAGGGTCTGCGTTGGGCCCCAATGCGGGGGCTTCCCCAGCGGCCTTCGGAAGAGGCGACAGTTTCACACTTCGCGGCCCCCAAGGGGTGAAGAGTTTTTCTTGGTCTGCGTGGGGCCCCAGTGCGCGGGCTCTCCCAACAGCCGTCGAAACTGGCGACAGTTTCTCATTCCGCAGCCCCGAGAGGGATGGCGATGTATTTGTTGGGTTTGCGTGGGGTTCCACTGCGCGGGCTGCGCCAGACACTTTCTCGAAAATGAAGACCAGTTTCACACATCGCAGCCTCCAAGAGGGGTACGAGCGGAGAGAGCCGAGAGGAGAGGGTGGGGGGCGAGGAGGACATTATCCTGGCGAAGGACCCAACCCTATGCAATTCTGAGTACCGCAGTTGTGATCCCCGCCCTCGGTGCAGCCCCCTAGGGGGCCACGAAGCGTGTGAGGGGTGTGCCGACATGGGTGCGGTGACGCCATGCGAACCCTGCCACAGGGGCCTTCGGCGAAGCTCTCTATGGGGCCACGAAGCATGTGGGGGGCGTGCCGAAATGTGTGCGGTGGCGCCTTGCGAACCCTCCCACTAGGGCCTTCGGTGGAGCCCCCTTTGGGGTCGCGAAGCGTGTGAGGGGTTGTGCCGAAATGGGCGCGGTAGCGCCATGCAAACCCTGCCACTGTGGCCTTCGGTGGAGTTCCTCATGGTGCCACGAACCGTGTGAGGGGTGTGCCGAAATGGTCGCGGTGGCGCCATGCGAACCCTGCCACTGGGGCCTTCGGTGGAGCTCCCTTTGGGGCCACGAAGCGGGTGAGGGGTGTGCCGACATGGGTGCGGTGGCGCCATGCGAACCCTGCCACAGGGGCCTTCGGTGGAGCCCCCTATGGGGCCACGAAGCGTGTGCGGGGTGTGCCGAAATGGGGGAGCTCCATATGGGGCCACGAAGCGTGTGAGGGGTGTGCCGACATGGGTGTGGTGGCGCCATGCGAGCCTTGCCTTTGTGGCCTTCGATGGAACTTCCTATGGGGCCACGAAGCGTGTAAGCGATGTTCGAAAGAGAGACATGCGGAGCACAGAGGCAATGAGGGGGAGGAAAGAGAAGGGGGAGGAGCGCGGGAGGTGCGGTGTGGAATGCAGGGCGGTGTCTCTTCAAAACGAGGGTCCAACACCACAGGATGTTTGGGGCAACGAAGGAGTTGGCGACCCCACTGCTCCATTCAAAACGAACGCCCGACCAACGGAAGATTGGAACATGTGCCATCAGTGGGTGCTTGGGGGGGCTGTCCACACAAAGATGTGTATGTGTACATGTATGTATATGTATATGTATATATATATATATATATATATATATATATATATATGTGTGTGTGTGTGGTGTGTGTGTGTGTGTGTGTGTGTGTGTGTGTGTGTGTATATATATATATATATATATATATATATATATATGGGGCAGGCCCGGGGCCCACAAACAGCTGCCCCGACCCCCCATGGGAGGACGGGGCGGCCGGGGAGGTCCAAAATACTCCAGGAGGGCCTCCAGAGGCTCCCCAGACGGCCCAAGCGGGCCCCGAGTCGCCGAAAGACCGCTCCTGGACGCCCAAGATAGGCCCAAGACGGCCCGAGAGACCCCCCCAAGGCACTCCACAACGCTTCAAGACGCCTCTCCCGAGCGCTTCAAGAGACCCAAATCGGCAATTGTACGGAGGTTTTGGAGAGATTTTGGCCTTCCAGCCTTTTCGGCTGTCCGACGTTCCAGGCCGGCTCCATAGGCCCCCAAGAGCGCCCCGAGACGGCCCAAGAGGGCCCCCAGGCGGCCCCAGAGGCGCCCCAGAGAGCCCCAAGACGGCCCCAGGATGCGCCCAAGAGGGAGACCACGACTCCCAAATTCGACCCTCCCGCTTGAAGAGTGCCCCAGGAGGCCCCAAGGAGCCCACCAGAGGCCCCAGGAGGCCCCCGAGAGGCACC